TTTCCCCCCTTGCTGACTTGGGCTTAGTTATCTCTTCAGTTTTTCTGCCGCAACATGCCTCATCTTGTTAATAAAATATGAAATGGTTCGTTTCCAAGGTTATTCTCATTCTCATACGGAGGCTAATCCTTCTGAGCATGAACTTCTTCTGAATTCATTAGTACATCCATGGTGGAAGACTGGTAGAATCAGGCCCACAAAGAAGGCTGTGCTTTCTTGCTGCAGTTGTCATCTGAAAGATGGCTTTGAAATGGTGTGGTAGGAGTCTCTCGCTGACTTGACGCCCAGAGCAGATTTGCTCAGTTTACAAATTAAATGCTTTTTTAAACTGCCATCTCTGCAGAGTCTGCTGAGGTCTGAAAATCAAACTGTTCTTTTTGCCTTTTACATTGTCACCAGAAATAAAGATTTTTTCAGCTGTTCGCTTTGAAGTTCAGGCAGAAATAGACTCCAGTTCACTCCCCTATAGCTTTGTTGACTCGGGACTACTACTTAGACAGTTTCTCTAAAAAAACAAAGACAAGATGGGTACATAATGTCAAAAGGAAAGACTAAAATAGGCAGCTTCTGATGAAACCAGGGGCTTGAATTCATGTAAACATACTCAATGACTACTGTTCTAAGCAGATGATGATCAACTGTTAGATGAGCTTAGATGTGGGGAATCAAAAAATGTCGCCCAAAGAGAGCAGAGCTGGTAATACAGCAACCATCAGAGGGAAGCTGCCTTCAATACAGTAAGAAAGCTCCAGATAGCTGAGGGCAGCACTACCAGTAAGGTAGGTATTTGCCCCACACTCTGGTGAGGAGGTTTAACAGCACAGAATTTGGAGCGATACGAATTCAGCTGGGCATAGGCCCAAGAGTGGGGATCTACTTTCTACTGTAAGCAAGAATGATTTAGTATTTCTAGCAATTTTCTTGTGTTGGAGGCTGCAATTCCTCTCCTTGTAGGCAGGAGGTGCGGAGAAGAAGGCTGTAAATCTGAAATAGTTTTGTATTGGCCTCTTTGACAGGAGAACCAGTATCCAAATTAGCATTAAATCTTGTCTTGATTTTTTTTTAATAAAAGGTTTGAAGTGGGCATTGACACTCATTCCAGGCCCCTCGTGATGCTCACTAGTAGAGATTAGAAGGCTTTGGTATTTAACACCAGGTTCTAAAGATCCAGTTTTAATTTCTAATTCCCCTGGGTGTGTTCATGCTTGATAGTTGCCAGATGTAAAGGAAATGTTTTATGGCCCACAGTCTGGCTTCCATCATGTCTAGTATCATCTAAATTAATGCAGTAAGAGAGTTTTCTTAAACTGGTGGGGTTTACTGTCGTGTTTGTGCTGCTTTGTATCTCTCTGTACTGACAATCCCGTGAGATTGCATTAAAATTATATCCCTTTCCTCTGGCTGCCCATATTAGACACTAGCTTCTGTCAAACAAGGGAACTCCCACCCTGTCAGGCCTTCTCTCCAGCTGGAAGTATTCATCTCCTCTGAGGGAAGTGGAAGATGTTCTTAGATTTTTATGTATCCATTCAAAGTGAGGGAGCTGAGGTATAAATTACTGTTGGCATTAGTTGACTATTGACTTCAATGTCTTAGAACCATTTCAGACCAGAGGTGAATTAGGCTGTGGTAGCTATCTAGAGATCTAAAAACACTGTGTATGAGAGATCTCTCTTGAAGTCTTGGATAGACGAATGTGCAATAGTCACAACCAATTAAAGCAATGATTGGACATCAAATAGAGGATCCTGTTTGAATGATTTGGGATTTATCTAAATGTCACTGGATGAACCAGGCAGATGCCGTATGCAGGCTACACTAGACATATCAGAGTAGAGCAAACAGCCACTCACCCCTGGTTAATGGTTGTATTGCTGCTTGACTTTTTTCTGTTTTAGCAGTGTCACTGGGGTACAATCAAGATTAAAGGCAAGAGAGAAAACTAATTTCGTAGGCCAAAATTTTCCGCTGTCCACTCATTTTGGAGTCTTTTGATATCAAGCTGTGTCCCAAGTTGAACTCCTTCAAAATGAATGCACCTAAAATTAGTCGACACAGTTTTCAAAGTTGGGGCCAAAGTAACTCCCTCCAGAAGCCTAACAAAGCATGTGAAGGAGGTGAAGAAAGCACTGTACAAGTGCCAGTGGTTTCGTCCAGCAAAGCAGTTTCACGGACCATTTTTAATCTGTCTCCTGAGTGCTTTGTATCGCGGCTCTTGAGAGCCTCTCAGCTTCCACTTGCTATGATAAAGCTACAAACACTGCTGCCTAGGAGTCGGGATTGTGCTGTAATGCACACAGTGAGGAAATTGAACACGATCTTTGCCAAGAGCTGTTTCAGACTGCTGGTATATCTGATGCTGTCATCCTCCTCCTCCCGTGAGCTGTAATTGTAGTGTAAAATACCCCCCTGTCTTAGATAGCTGTTGGGAAAAGTGACAGGTTTTTGGACACTGTATGCCTGTATGTACGTGTTTGTCCTAAATCTTCTGCAGCAGACTTATCATATATACAGGACAGACTATGAAAAATCAGCACACAACCAAAGATGTTACAGGCTGAAAAAACCTATAAGGTCACCTAGCCAATTCCCACGTGACATTTTGCAGGTCTTCATCTAGTTACTTAAGGTGGCTTATCTGTGCGTGCAGTGCTGCCAGATTTGCTTCATGTTTCCAGGGTGTGATGAGCTTGTCTAGTGCATCCCAGCACTCCTAATACAGCTTTTAGCTGTTTCCTCGAAATGTGCTGCTCAGACATACGAGGAGCAGCCTTCCAGCAATGAAGGATTTAAACCCTTGTCACCGAGCTCGCCTTCTCCTGGCTTCAAAGCATGCACTGCCTCACCCAGTCTCCGTCAAGGAGATTTATTTCTTTAGCGGAGGTTATCAGACAAACAGAAAACTGACTTAACTCCATCCTGGCCCCAGGCTTTGGGGCCACCCCCCGCTCAGGAGTCTCCGGCACACCAGCGCCCTAGCCTCAGCCAGCTCCGGTCCCTTCTTGGAGCAGCAGCCGCCCGGCTGCTTCCCTGGCCCCTTGCTCCAGGGACCCACCACGTGTACTAGCTCCACTCCAGTGTGACTTTCCCTCTCCAGGCTCAGTCCTTAATCCTGCTGACTAGCAGCCCTTTGTAGGCTCATGTGTAACCCAGACCTCTCTAATTAGCTGGAGTGGGCTCACCTGCCCCGGTCCAGGGGAGCTGGGCTTTTTCTGTCTACAGGGCAAGGCCCCCCGGTCACAGCCCTCCATACCTTTTAGCCTTTCTGT